AATTTGAGTTGAATTACTGAAATAAATGAACTTTTCCACGACATTCTAATTTATTGAGATGCACCTGTATAATTTTAAATTCATGTTCAAATGTATCAGATTTGATACAACAGGCTTTTGAGAAATGTTTATTTGTACATCTCTCAAATCTCATTGGACTGGATTATATATTTTGCCCCCACAATACAAACTACAGGGAATTGATTATAAATCAAATAGGATCTTACTAAGGCATTGGGAGAAATAGAGTGACATGATATATGCCTTTTATGTAAGTAGTTTGTAAATGTACAAGCGGTCACAGTGAGTTAGGGCAAGGATAGTAGATGAGGCAGGGGTTTGAATGCACGTGGTCTTTATTAAACTGAACAAAACACTCTGGATCAAAGGAAACCACAGAAGAATAGCAAACCAACCAACACCCTGCACAGATAAGAACCGACAACTGAAGACCCAATGGTATAAATGCAGATTAAATTAGAGAACAGGTGTACAGCAATAGGTAACTATGGAAACAAACGAGAACACACTAGTGGAAACTGACTTTCTTTCTTCTGTGGAACATAATAGAAGATATAGGCAACTCAGGAACAACATACAGGAATAATGAACTCAGAAACAATAGAACAGAAACCAAACATGATGCAAACTATCAGAATTAGGTGGGTGGTACATGTCAAAGTCACATCTGAAAGATTACCAGGACATAAGGTTTAAGGGGTTTTTTTAGCAATTTGAGCTACAGTATAGCTCTTTTCTGTGATGGGACTAGACCATGACTCTTAAGACTGGTTCACGTTGTTCCAACTATTGCATGCCAGGAAAATTCCACAAGACTTGTTTTTTTTTAGGTGCTCTGACTCAGTCGTCTAGCCATGACTGGTCTTCAATGCCAACAGGACTGCTCACTAACCAGTTAATTGTTGAATTAGTCTCTTTTCTCTTTCTGTTTTTTTTTTTTAGTATAAACCAAACTGAACATGCATTTTTCCTCCCAATGTAAATATATAATTAATACCACTTAACTGGTCCTCAATGTCAACTGGGCTGCTTACTAATCAGATAATTGTAGGTTTAGTCTCTTATCTGTCAGACAGCAATTCTGAAGCAAATGCCATTAGAGCAGTTTCTATGAGGGCTAATGCACTAATGATAAGGTGTTATTTAACAACAATAAACCATTTGTCTCTAGTGTGTAAATACACTATACTGTATATAGACATTTTCTAATGCTGCATAAATTGAATGTCTCAAATATTATTCTTAAATTAAATATCTGCCAAACTGTTGTTTTGAAGTGGTTGTCTGAAATATTACAGAAAAAAAGACCTGATATACAGTAAAAATCCAGAAAAATATTTTGAATTTTTTTTAGACAAAGACAGCTTAATGTAATAGTGTTTATTGATTCTTCGTGGTCAACAAAATAATGTAATTATGAAGATGTATACAAATACATAAAATGATCTTTCATGCAAATCATTACGAAGGTCATATTTGGTGATTGCAAACCCTTTTAATACAAAGTAACTTATAGCTTACTAATTCCAATGACAGCACCCATGACACACCTCAATACAAGGTATTGATCATTCTCTTCACTCCGTAATGTTACTGAACCTGTAAATTTTGCATTAACAGCCCAAATCCTTAATCAATTATTACATACACAAGCATATAGGTTTACAATGGCATGTTTTTTTTTTACCAAATTCAATCAAAATGAAACAAAAATAAAACTTCATTACAAAATTAAAATTTTTCCACAGTTATAGTGCTTCTCCGTAATGTTACTGAACCTGTAAATTTTGCATTAACAGCCCAAATCCTTAATCAATTATTACATACACAAGCATATAGGTTTACAACGGCATGTTTTTTTTTTACCAAATTCAATCAAAATGAAACAAAAATAAAACTTCATTACAAAATTAAAATTTTTCCAGTTATAGTGCTTAAAAAATGTAGCTTTTAAAACCCAAGCCAATGCCTGTTTTGTCCCCAGCTGTGAAGCAGAAAAGTCTTCTCTTACAAAAGAAAATACCAACAAAAAAAATACTATGATATTAGCAAGTTGTTTAACACATACCATGGAAGCACCACAATATTCTTGAAAACGACACTAGAGGGAATTAATTTCACTACCATAGTTTATATCAAAGTACTCTAGTATTACCATGTGACACCATTAATGTACCACAGTATTTTTTGGTAAGGGCTTTCATCTGTACATGGCTATGCTACTGATTATAGCATAAATATATCTGAGATCCAAATTATTCTGCTAACAAAAGGAGAAGATGACAGGGTCATCCCAGACAGATGAATATGATACTTCATGGCAGCCCTTTTGATCCTTATTCAAAGCTACAGAAGAAATTGTCTTTTTGTTTTTTGTATTCGCCGTATCCTCACGGGGTAAAATGTGGATACACCACAAAGAGTGTTTTTTGCACAAATTTATCTCCAACATCAATGAGGTTCAGATTCTTGGACCACACCTTGAGTCTGTCCCCAGATTTGAGATAAAAAATACCTTCAGAAAACAGACTTTTCCTCCAGTGTGTAATGTTCACTGTTTCACAGTGGGTGAGCAGGGGCAGGTGTTCAGGATATCCGTCAGTATAATGATGAATATCATGTTGCAGAAATATTTCATCTCTTTCTGGCTTATCGCTGAATTTTCTGTATGTAATCTGCAGAGAAACCTTGTATGTTCCGTCATGAAGGACTTTCAGAGATTCATTATCGTCATCCAAGATTAAGTATCTGGTATGGGTTGGTGACGAATACTCTGGTGTATCCATCCACGGCACAAATCCGTCTTTAGTGAAACGGACATCGTTTTTAACTAGAGAGAAGGGAAATGTGTGAATACACTTGGCCAAAAAATATTACACATTCAGTATCAATGAGAATGAAAATTGCCCTAGTGACAGCATTGCACCTATTTTTTTTCCTAAGAGTGTAGACATAAGTTGTCTAATTAGGAGTACAACTCTTGCTTACAGTTCATCTTATCTTAATGGTAATTATGTTTTGTATTCATTTCTACTTTTGCATTACATCTTAATGCACTCAGTGTATTACTTCTTACCTGTCAGGCGAATGAAAGATGCGTCTCTTTGTGTCGGGGTAATTTCTTCTCTGCTATGCGATTCAAAATCTTGATGCTGCATTTCTATATGGATAAAAAAATATGAGATTTTTTATTATTAGTTTTTTTTTATTTGCTTTGGTTCTATTTTCAAAAGTAAGATGTACTGTGTATTTTCAAAACTCTTAGTACAAAAATCCAAACTGAACACACTTGTAACATCACTAGTCATTATTTTAAAAACTGATCTCATGCTTTCATTACAATTACACGTGTTTTCAACCAACATAATCATTGTTTCAAAACATACGGTTATTGTAATATATATTGAGAGCATTTGATTTAATCACCAAAACACAACAGTATGATCTTCTTTCAATTTAGTTCTTTTAACAATCAGTTAATTCGAGAACAATGCAAAATACGTGTTTCAAACCACCTCTGTTGCTGAAATAATTACAGTAATACAGGCAACAATTGTCATGTTAGAAAATACAAACAAAAACGAAAAAACAAAACGGTGTGATGAAGGTATGAAATGGCCATAAGGTTGTGCTACAACACAAACACAGTTTACTGTCAATGCAGTAAATGTCCTCACTGTGCCATATGACTGAATTTATATTGTAGCGGGACTATGAAAGGTGAGTTATAGAGTATCACATGGCATAACACAATATAAAATGCTATATTTGATGCCATCTGTCTCCCTTCTTCTGATACATCTCTGATCAATCTCTGATCAATTCCTCTCCCTTGTACCATGCTGTGTGTTCACAAATTGCAAAACAGTTTTACAAATAAGGACATCCTCAAAGAGAGGTTTTGGTGATTTTGTCAAGTTTTGCTCACCTCTGGGTACCAGTTTTTCCCCAAAATATGGTTATGCA